GCTGGCCTCGAACTCACAGAGATCCGCCTGGCTCTGCCTCCCAAGTGCTGGGATTAAAGGTGTGCGCCACCACCACCTGGCGGCTTTTTTTCTTCTGTATTACTTCCTTTTTAAGGACTTGATTGTTTTAAAACTATATTTATATACCTTATGGCTGTCTATACCTCCCCCCCCCCACACACACAAGCCTTTGTACATTTTTAAACACACTGTAACCTGTTTAGAGATTTTTCCTGTCTGGATCTGTCTTTATGGAGCATCTGTAACCTTTTCTGTCTGCATGAGCAAAACCCCAAACCCGCCATGCAGTGCCCCGGAGGAGCTCCCGAGCGGCTCAAGCCTGCAGCAGTGGCTGGAAGAGGCCCCTCTCTGTACTGCGGCCTGTGTGCGCCCAGGAGATGAGCCTCAGTACTGCAGCCGGCATGAGAGACACGAGACTGGGAAGCCACATCTGCCCCGTTTGTTGTGTGCTTTGAACCTCTTTAAAGCTTTCTCAGGTCTTAGTGGATGTAGGTGCCCCATGTTGGGCGACATTCTCTTCTACATAGTAAATACTTAAATGGTTATTAAATGTGTCAACTGACTCAATTTCTTCAATTAATAAATTACAAAAGAAAATGATGGATAGGAAACCTGTGGGTTCAAAGGCAGGTAAATGCTGGTGACGTGTTTGTCACAAGCCTGAGTCTGGAACCCACATGGTAAAGGAGCAGATTGACTCCTGGGAGTTATAATCTAATCACACAGGTACTCTAGTATTTCACCCCTTCAAAGTAAAAGAGCTGACCATAGCACGTTTGCCTTATTTGGATCTTCTTCCTTCCTTCCTTCCTTCCTTCCTTCCTTCCTTCCTTCCTTCCTTCCTTTCTTTCTTTCTTTCTTTCTTTCTTTCATTTTTTGAGACAGGGTTTCTCTGTATAGTCCTGCCTGTCCTAGAGCTCACTCTGTAGACCAGGGTAGTTTCAAATTCAGAGATCTGCTCACTATGTCATTTTTATACATCTGTATAGTGTATTTCTATCATACACACAATCTACTACCCACTAGTCCGTTTCTTCTTCCTGGATCCTCCTTTGTGATTTCATGTGTCCCCATGAGTTTCACTGGGGCTGGCCTCAAACTTGCTGTGTAGCTGAGGATGACATTGAACATTGGTGGCGTTCGCCTTTAATCCCAGCAGAGCCAAGCGGATCTCTGTGAGCTTGAGGCCAGCCTGGTCTACAGAGCAAATTCCAGGACAGTGAATTCCGGGTTACACAGTGCAACCCTGCCTCAAAAAAAAATTTTTTTTTAGATGTATGTATGTATGTATGTATGTATGTATGTGCACTGTGTACATGCTTGGTACCTGAGGAGGCCAGAAAAGGGCATCAGAGTCCTTGGAACCAGAGTTATAGACTATTGTGGGCTGCCGTGTGGGTGCTGGGAATCAATCCTGGTCCTCTGCAAGAGCAGCCAGTGCTGTGAACTGCTGAGCCTTCTCTCCCCAGCCCCTCATTTTTATGTTTTAATTATGTGTTTATGTGTGAACCAGTATACCTGGTTTCCACATATTAAAAAGGGAATAAATAACACATTTCCTGTCTCCCCTCACAGAGTTGTTGAGGTGACCACATGGAATTACACGTGACGGGTACTTTTTGGATTGTTACAGAAAGTTGGATATGATGGGGCACAGCTGTAGTCCGCATTGGGAAGCGGAGGCAGGAGGATCAGGAGTTCAAGGACATCCAGAGTTACTAACCCAAAGCAGGCAAGGCAAGCCTGTGTTGTCAGACTTTTATTTGGACCACCAGCTCACAAATAACGACACGGAGACAATTTTAACTATGAAAGCTTGGTTGGCCATTAGCTTAGGCTTGTCCCACCAGCTCTTAGAACTTAACCTGCTTTTATTAATCTATTCTGCCACGTGGTCTGACCTCTTCAGCATCTCCTTGGCATCTCCTCTGCACCTAGATTCTGAGTTCCTCTCTTTCCCCGGAAGTGAAGTCCTGCCTAGTCCCTCCCACCTAGCCATTGGCCATTCAGCTCTCCATTAAACCAGTCACAAGGTGCCTTAGGCAGAGACACATCTTTATAGCATACAAAAAGATGATCCCGCAACAAGCCCAGGCTTCCTGAGACCCTGTCTGAAACAAGTGAACAGGCACAAAGAATGACTGCCTTGTTTCTCACATGTTTCTGACCGCATTCTCACATACGGTGCCCCAGGGCTTCTGTTCATATCCTCACCTGCCCTTCCCTGTGTTGTTTTTATTATCATCATCTCGATGGGTGTGAAGACTTATGTCGTAGGGTTTCTATTGCTATGATAAAACACCATGACCACTAAGGGGTTTATTTCATCTTATAGCTTTACCTTCATCCAGGGAGGGCAGGGCAGCAACCTGGAGGCAGGAGCTGAAGCAGAGACCATGGAGGAATGTTGCTCACTGGCTTGCTCTCCATGGCTTGCTCAGCCTGTTTTCTTATTCTATGCTAGACCACTGCCCAGGGGAGGCACCACCCACAGTGGGCTGCTGGGTCTTCCCAAACCAATCATTAATCAAGAAAAAAAAAAAAAACAAACAAAACTCATAGGCTTGCCCACAGGCCAGTGTGGTGGGGGCATTTTCTCACTTCTCAAGAGGACTCCCTTGTTCTGGTTGACACAGCACTCGTCAGCCGGGGTGATCTGTGTTGTCCGGACCGCTGTCTTCAGAGCTCACTCTTCTTTCTGCTTGTCCTTTGGGGGGGGCAGGTAATGTAGACGTCTTTTCAGAACTTCTCTTGGGAACTTATTCCTTCTTGCTCTTTTGCCATTTTGCTCGGATTCTCGCTAAGCCCACGTTTTACACTCAGCTACTTTCCTAGGTGGTGAGCTCTAACTTGTGAACTCTTGGTGGTAGTGTGTTCAGATATATTACGGCCGGACTTGATCGTACACTCAGCTGTAGAGGCTGGCTCAGGAGGAGTCTGGGGTCACCCTGGGTTGTGTAAATAAGCGGTAAGGTCTGTGAAGAGATGGTCTCGAGCAAGAAGAGACGCCCAGAACAGGCTCAGACCAACCAGTCTGCCTGGAAAAGACACCCCTTCCCCCCCCCACCCCTGTTGAGCTACCTGTGGGTGTTGTGCTGTGTGCTCCGGGTGCCCAGCTTTCTGGATCCAGTTCTATGCTGGGGGCTGGGGTGGGCTGGGGTGGCTGGGATGGGCTGGGGTGGGCTGGGGTGAAGTAACCCAGATAAAACCCACTGGTTTACCAAGTTGGATTTTGAAGGTGGAGGGCGTAACCCATGCTTCAAAATAAAAAGTAAAAAAGACTGAGGTTTAGCCCTTGCCTAGCATATAGTCAAGGCCTGGGTTCAATCCCCGGTACCTGAACAAATTAAAAGGCATTGTGAAATATTCCACCTGTTTTTATTAATCTGTTTCCTCACAGGATCAATTAGTGATTATATGCAGTTGGCAGGTCAGGTATCCATTGAATGACTGGAATAGCCCTGAGGGTCTCATGGGTAATTCCTGGGGAATTGTCGTTCTGCAATGTGGACCTCCTCTTATTTGGAGGTGGTATGACTTGGAACTCAAGCAAAAATATCTGTTAAATGCCATAGAGGCCTCTAGCTTCAGGACAAGTTACATGAATCATTTATACCCAGGCTGCCGTCACAATCATAAAGTCCGGTCACTGGGTGCATCTGTGAGACTGTTTAGACTTTAAGTGTGTAATGAAGTTATCCTGTAAAATGATTTCTCCTCTTCAATTCCTATGTTTACTACACTCCAGGAACTTAGGTTTCCTGTGTGGGAAGGATTTCTCTTGCCCTGATGGTTCATAATGCAGTTTAGGGCCCCAGGTCAAAAGTGAATTTGGTGGCAGATGAGTGGCCACCAGAATTTGGAACTGTAGGCTGGTGTGGTCGCACACGTATGGAATTCCAGCGCTGAGGGAACATAGGTCGAGCAGCAGGTTAAGCAGTTTAAGAATACCTGGGATATACGGGACCCTGTTTCAAGCAGAAATGACACAAAAGATTTTTTTTTAATTATTTTATTTTATGTGCATTGATGTTTTGCTTATGGAACTGGAACTGGAGTCACAGACAGCTGTGAGCCGCCATGTGGTTGCTGGGACTTGAACTCAGGTCCTCTGGAATAGCAGTCAGTGTTCTTAACGGCTGAGCCATCTCTCCAGCCCCCACAAAAGATTTTTGAATTGTAACAATTCAGTGTAGGGCTTTGAGCAAAATTCTTCCGGTAAGAATATTTCAGTTCCTTAGTTGTTGACACATACACCCTCATTTTCTCTTACCGATTAGGTGAGCGTAGTTGGTTTGCACCGTCTAAGTCGTTTCCTTTGGGAAGTTAGATGAGTATTGCTTAGGGAGCGTCTCGATTTTCTTCTCTTTTGGATTCTTTATTGTTTGTTTTCTGAGACAGGGTCTCACCATGGAGACTTGGCTGGCCTGGACTTCGCTTTGTTGACCAGGCTGACCAGGCTGGCCTCGAACTCACAGAGATCCTCCTACCTCTGCCTCCAAATATGTGACATCACATCTGTTTGTTTGTTTTTGTTTTTCGAGACAGGGTTTCTCTGTGTAGTCCTGGCTGTCCTGGAGACCAGGCTGGCCTCGAACTCACAGAGATCCTCCTGCCTCTGCCTCCTGAGTGCTGGGATTAAAGGCGTGCGTCACCACCACCTGGCTGTAATTTTTATATTTTATATATTTATTGTGTGTGTGCATGTATGTGTGTGTGCCATAGTGCACATGTGGAGGTCAGAGGTCAACTTTTAGTCTGTTCTTTCCCCTCCCCATGTGCATCAAGCCCCGCTCACTAGGTTTGGTGGCAGCTTAATCTGCTGAGCCATCTCATGGGTCCGTCATCGTTCTTCTTTTTCCTGTCCTCGTTCCCTTTCGAGTTTATTACTGCTGACGTTGTGCATCCTGTTTCACAGGGAGTCCGTCTGTATACATGTATGGTCTTCCTGACCTTCTGACCTCTATGTCTCCCCGCAGCCATATGTGTCACTGTCTCAGCCGATGGCACCGCCCAGTCCGAGGAACGGCACCCCCAACAGCAGCATCGGGGGCAATGGCCATGACCAGCTGAGCAAGACCAACCTGTATATTCGAGGGCTGCAGCCGGGCACGACGGACCAGGACCTCGTCAAGCTCTGTCAGCCGTAAGTTGTGGGCCTGGTAGGAAGGCCTCCAGGGGCAGCAGGATTGCGATCGCTGGCGTCTCGTCGCACGCTCTCAGCTCGCATTGCAGTAGCGCTGTGCTTCTGCCTTGGTCACAGCATTTAGTCATGACACAGACTCTCAGGATCCTCCCTTGTCGCCTTTTGGGCTTTGTTGTTTTGAGACAGTGTCTCATGGATCCTAGGCTGGCCTCAGACAAAATCAGCTTAAGAGAGAAAAGGGTGCCCTTGTCTCAGAGCTTGGGGTACTGTCCGTCCGCCATGCCGAGGAAGCCCAGATGGAGGAGCTGGAGGCAGCTGGCCACATCACACTCACCCAGGAAGGAAGGGGAACAGGGGCTTGCTGCCCCTCAGTCCCCTTTCTCTGCTAACGTAGTCCTGGATCCCAGCCCGGAGACAGCACTACCCACAGTGGGTAAGGCCCTCCACAGGGATGCAGGTGCCCGTCTCCTGGGTGATTCCAGATCCTATCAAGTTGACAGTTAACACTTAGCATCACACGCTTTGAAAGAAATAGTCACTTACTCTCTATGGTGCGTGCGTGCGTGTGTGTGTGTGTGTGTGTGTGTGTGTGTGTGTGTGTGTGTGTGTGTTTAAAACAGGATATCATATAGTCTAGGTTGGCCTTGAACTCCTTATCCTCTTGTGTCTACATCTCAAGTTCTGGAATTAAAGGCATGCACCACCATACCTGGCTATATTTTTATTTACATGTATGTGTATGTGCTTGTGTGAATTTACGTGTGCCACATGTGTGGATGTCCTGGAACTTGAGTTACAAGCAGGTTCGAGCCGCGAGGAATCCAACTCTGGTTCTCTGGAGGAGCAGCCAGTGCTCTTAGCTGCTGAGCCATCTCTCCAGGCCCTGAACTAGCTGTTCCTGTTGCTTTATAGAATCAATCGCCCATCATATTGTTGCCAATATTTGCATTATCACCAGTTTGTGGCTATTATGAACGCAAACTGGGCTGGAAACCTACACCTTGGTGTGTGTATATGTACATATTCAGGTTGGGTGTATTGCTGGGTCACAGGGTACCCATCTGTGAAGCTATTGTTGATAATAGTGTAAGGTTTTCATACTGGGCATAGAGGTCCATGCCGGTAATCTCAGCAGTCAGGAGATGGAGTCAGGAAGGTGAGGGGTTCAAAGTCCTCTGCTGCACAGCAAACTGGAGGCCTGGTGTGTTGCAAGCACTCTACCTGGGGGCGACATCCTCGTCTAGAAAACTTTGGCTTCCCTGTTCTTTGAGGCTTTCATTTACCCTTCCAGGAACTAGTCAGGGTCAGCATGTAGGATGGGAGACAGGAGTCCAGCACTGGAGTGGGAAGAAGCCGGCTTGAGCTGGCTGTGGGGCTCATGCCGTGCTCACACAGTCAGGGAGCATGAGGGAGGATCTGCCTCGGGCCAGCCAGGACTCTAGAATGAGACCCTGTCTAAAAAAAAATCAGAGACCTGGAAAGGTGGTTCCGTGGTTAAGAACACAAACTGCTTTTGAAAAAGACCGGAGTTTGGTCCCACATCGGGCAGCTCAGTTGCCTCTAACTGCAGCCACGCACCTCAGGTAGTCCCAGGCACATAGCCACATAGACACATGTAATCGGAAATAAGGAAATCTTTTTAAAAACCAGTCAAACAGCCGGGCGGTGGTGGCGCACGCCTTTAATCCCAGCACCAAGGAGGCAGAGGCAGGTGGATCTGTGTGAGTTCGAGGACAGCCTGGTCTATAGAGTGAGTTCCAGGACAGCCAGAGCCACACAGAGAAACCCTGTCTTATTTATTTTATTGGTGTTTTACCTATATGTATATCTGTGTGAGTGTGCTGGATCCTGGAGTTACAGACAGTGGTGAGCTGCCATGTGGGTCCTGGGAATTGAATCCCCGGTCCTCTGAAAGAGCAGTCAGTGCTCTTAACTGCAGAGCCATCTCTCCAGCCCCAGAAACCCCGTCTTAAAAATAAACCAAAACAAAAGTCAATCAAAAAAAAAATAAAAATGGAGGAGTGAAGGTCAGCAGAGCAGGGGTGGGGCCCGATGGAGGGGAGCAGGGAGCCGAGCCGCTCTGAAAAGGGTGTTTCTCCTGCTCAGAAGGACTTCCTGCCTTTGTCCCAGTGATCTCTTCCTGGGTTGCTGGATCCCAAACTCTGGTGGGCCGGAAGGAGAGGTGTGGCCTGAGACTGGAACTCGCGGTTCTCGGGAAGGGGCTCCTTCTGAGGAGGAGGAGGAAGCAGCGACCCAGCTGTTGCCAGCTGCACTGGAAATTCTGAGCGCGGTCTCAGGCTCCTGGGCCACAGCAGGCTCCACCCTGGGGCCTTGATGGGGATAGCAGCTTGAGTGTCCTCGGGCTGGAGTCCAAGCCCGGAGCCTCAAAAGACCCGAGGACCACAGGTCCCACCTCCTTTTAATGTGTTGTTCTTTTCCCAGCCTCCAGGGCCTTCCCTGGCTAAATGCTTCAGGTCCCAGAAGCCCCCCTGAAAAGGCCGGGGTGGGGTGGGGGTGGGGCGGCTAGGGAGTGGTAACAAAGTAATCATCACATCTTTAGGGAGGAGAGGATATATATGTATCTAATGCTTGTTTGGGGTATTAATTTCAAATTTAGTTCCTGCCAACTGTTTCTGTTCAACCCTTGTTCTTTTTTAAACTTTTATTTAAGTAACATTTTCTTCCTTTATTTTACATACCGACCACCGTTTCTCCCCCCTCCTCTCCTCTCATCCTGTCCATCCATCTGTCCGTCCCCGTTCCCTCCCCCAGCCCTTGTCCTTTGACTCTCTTCCTGGCTGCGTTCTGTCTGAGATTTTTCAGACTACTGGAATCGAGTGTAGCGGCTTCTCCTAACAGATGCTCCTGATGTAAGCCAAGAGCCGCACTACCTCAGGACCCAAGCTCTGGGGCCTGTGCAGACCCCCGCTGCCCACAAGGATTCCCAAAGGGCCGAAACACACGGAGCTCATAAACTGTAGGGTGAAATCATGTCACAGGTTGATTTAACTCTTTCATGGAGGCAGCAGAGGGATGGAGAAATCAGGTCCAAGAACACAAGGAGTCGTTAGCATGCTGGGGTAAGAATGCAGTGGTGAGGCCCAGACACAGGAGGCCACAGGACTTGTCCAAGATCACACTTCGCTAAAAAGTGGCCCAGCCAGGGTTTGAGCCAAAGCAGTTTGGGATCAAGCTGGCGTGTACCTAAGAGATCAGTTAGAGGGGCTCCAAGGAACAAATGTTTATTATTTTAAAATGTTTATTTTTAATTTTATTTTTTATGTGTATGGATGTTTTGCCTGCATATATGTCTGTATACCACGGACATGCCTGGTGCCCACAGAGGCCAGAAGAGAGTATTGGATCCTCTGGAACTGGAGTCACAGACAGTTATGAGCTGCCATTTGGATGCTGGAAATCAAACCCAGATCCTCTAGAAGAGCAGCCAGTGCTCTAACCGCTGAACATTCTTTTCAGCACCTATTTATTATTATTATTATTAATTGGTTTTTCAAGACAGGGTTTCTCTGTGTAGCTCTGGCTGTCCTGGAACTCGCTTTGTAGGTCAGGCTGGCTTCGAACTCACTGAGATCCACCTGCCTCTGCCTCCTGAATTTCCAGTGCAGCTGGCAACAGCTGGGTCACTGCTTCCTCCTCCTCCTTGGGGTTAAAGGTGTGTCTCCCCATCCCCCCACCCAGCTTATTTTATTTTATTTTATTTTTTTATTTGTGCTTTGCTTGTATGTATGTCTTTGTGAGGGTGTTGGATCCTGGAATTACAGACAGTTGTGAGCTACCATGTGGCTGCTGGGAATTGAACTCAGGTCCCCTGGAAGAGTAGTCAGTGCTCTTAACTGCTCAGCCATCTCCAGCCCCTTATTTTATTATTTTCAATAGGATGAATGGTATTTGTCTAAAAGAAAAGTAGAATCAGGGGCTGGAGAGGTGGCTCAGAGGTTAAGAGCACTGGCTGCTCTTCCAGAGAACCTGAGTTCAATTCCCAGCACCCACATGGTGGCTCACAACCATCTGTAATGAAATCTGATACCTTCTTCTGGTGTGCAGGCAAATATGCAGACAGAACATTGTATACATAATAAATAAATAAATAAATCTTAAAAAAAAAAAAAAGAAAAGTAGAATCAAGATGCTATCCAGGCATGGTGGTGCACACCTTTAATCCTAGCACTCAAGGAGCAGAAGCAGGAGGATCTCTGTGAGTTCGAGGCCAGCCTGGTCTACAGAGTGAGTTCTAAGACAGCCAGGGCTACACAGAGAAACCTTGTCTCAAAAAAAAAAAAAAAAAGAATTATTTCTGTTTCTTAAGGAATTCTGGCTGGAGTTCTGCCCTTACGTGCTTTAAGTGGGTGTGGCCAAGCTTGTTTCCCCCCTCCCCCCACATTCCTAGCTAAAGGAGATGATTGTGTTCACATTGCAGTGACTTTTAGTGACTTTTTTTAGGTGGTGCCTTTTAGGGGTTGGGGTGATATTAAGGACAATGTGACAGTTGATCTCATTGATGTAATTAGATAGAGAAGCCCTGCGTGGTAGTTACTCTCCTCTTTGTGGTGACGGAAAGGGATAGGCGAAGAAAGGTCTGTCTGGCCAGTTTGAGGGACACGGTCCATCGTGGCCGGGAGGACACTGATGTCAGCCAAGGGCAGCCAGGTGGGGCTGCGCTGTAAAGTCCCTGCTGCCCGTAAAGTCCAGTGCAGCGCCACCTCCTGAAACAGGGTCATTAGCTAGGAACCAAGTGTTCAGCCACAGGACGGACGTGTGGGGACATTTCCATGGAAACCACACCAGCCTGGAGATTACCGAAGTACACGTCTGGGTATGGCAGGGATAGTTTCCCAGGGAGATAAAGCGAAGTAGGGAAATCTTCCCTGAATATAGGTGAGTCCCTCCCATAGATGGGGTGGGGGTGGGGGTAAGATGGGACAGAGGGGAAAGAGAGGAGACTCACGTATTTCCCCTCCCTCCCTTTCCCATGCTATGAGTTTCTTCATCCTCTCTGCCATGATGGCTGAAGCCACGAACCGGAAGAAATCTTTTCTCCCTTAAAAAGTGTTTATGACAGGCATTTTGTCACAGTGATGAAAACTAACACAATTGGCTTTTGCGGGGAGAGGGGAGAAAGCTATATATATAGGTCTGGTTGGCTTGGAACTCACTCTGTAGACCAGGCTGACCTCGAACTCACAGAGATCCTCCTGCTTCTGTTCCCTGAGTGCTGGGTTTAAAGGCGTGCGCCACCACCGCCCGCATGCCCTGTTATTTTACTCTGTGTAGCCTAGGTGTGCGCCACCATGCCAGGCTCTTGGTCCTGTTCTTAATCCCTGTCCTCAACTCATCACTTTGCATTTTCCTTCCCTTTAGATATGGCAAGATTGTCTCCACCAAGGCCATACTGGACAAGACCACAAACAAGTGCAAAGGTGAGAAGCATCTGCCTGCCGGAGGGGAGAGGCCATCCTCCGCCTCTGCCTCCTGCTGCGGGGGCGTCTGAGCGCCCGCTGCCGGGGAGGAGGTGGGAGGATTTGGGGAGGTGGGAGGATTTAGAGTCCCCAGAGACCAGAAAGCCAGAACCGAGAACGCTGTTGGGGACAGCCAGCCAGAAGCCTGCATGGAGCTCCCTCTGGTGGCTGGAGCTCACTCCGGCCCACAGTCTGCCTGGGTGGGAAGGGGATGCAGGAGAGACTGTCTCGACTTGTCATTGTAAACCGGACAGGCCAGTCGGTTTCTCTTCCCGTTGCGGAGAGGTTTGAGCATTTCCAGGCATTTCCAGGCGGAGCTGGAAGAACAGCGGGATGGGCAGGGACGGGCCGCTTCCATCTGGCACTGCCTGCTCTGCTGTGTGTCTCCCGGCCCAGCATTTCTGGGGGCTGTCTAGAGAAGAGATGGGGGCCTTTAGGAGTGCACGAGGTCCCGGATTTCATACGTTGGGTCTGAAGCCCCAGGTTTTTAATGAGAAGGAGAAAGGCAGATACACAAGGGCTCCATTGCCTTTGGTGCTCTTCGCCAGAGAGGACCTGACCTCTGGGTGAGGGGTGGCCTGAAAGCTTTTAATTTCTCTTTCTCCCCGCTACATCTCTCTCACGGACCATAACTCCTCCTCTGTCTCCTGGAAAGCCTGGGCCTCCTTCCTCTCTCACACACCCCAGCTCCCCGTGACGCTGTTCCCCTGTTCCAGGCTATGGCTTTGTGGACTTCGACAGTCCCTCAGCAGCGCAGAAGGCTGTGACCGCGCTGAAAGCCAGCGGTGTGCAGGCGCAGATGGCTAAGGTGAGGACGCCCCACGCCAGCTTTTCCGGGGTTACGGTCAGCACTAAACGGTCAACACCGAAGTTCCAGGGTGGGGCCTCTCAGTGCTTCCGAGTATGAAGTTGATGAGCAAGGATTGTCTATGGTGTGTGTGTGCGTGCGTGCGCGTGTGTGCATGTGTGTGTGTGTGTATGTATGCGTGCATGTGTGTGTGTATGTGTGTGTATGTATGTATGTGTGCATGTGTGTATATGTGTGTATATGTGTCTGTATGTGTGCATGTGTGTGTGTTTGTATATGTATGTGTGTGTATGTATGTGTATATGTGTATGTATGTATGTGTGCATGTGCATGTGTGTGTTTGTATATGTATGTGTGTGCGTGTGCATGCAGCTCGGAGCTACCTGATGTGGGTGATGGCAACTGGACTCAGGTCCTCTCCAGAATGTGCTCTTGACCACAGAGCCATCTTTCTGGTATTTCTGGAAGCATCTGGACAGAGGCAGGTGGTATTTCTGGAAGCATCTGGACAGAGACAGAGGTCTACTGGAGCTGCGGGGCAACCGTCCTTTGTGTGGCGGACAGGAGGGCCAGGCCTCCGGCACTCCGGCTGCCTCCCTGCCCCACCCTGGCCCCACTTTCCTAGGACAGATGGTTATAGTTCTGCAACATTCTCTGAAGAAGGCAGCTGTGCAGCTGGGGTTCTGAGGATGCTTTTCATGGCCTGCCGTACTCCCATAGGGCAGGGAGTGAGCTGGGAGAGGGCTGGGGGGAGGGGAGGAAGCTAGAACCGAGCCTCTTGCTTAGTGCTCCCTGGAGCTGAGAGTGTCAGCCGCTAGAAAGCTAGAAGCCTTTCTCAAATCCCTCCAGCAGGGGAGGACAGTTCCCTTGCCTTGCTGAGGCATCTCAAATACTTTGAAGAACCTGATAAGGCAGCCATTCCTGGAACTAGAGTTACAGTGGGTTGTGTGTCCCCATGTAGGTGCTGGGAATTGAACCCAGGCCCTGTGGAGGAGCAGCCAGTGCTCTTAACCACTGAGCCACCTCTCCAGCCCCAAGACAGCCATTCTCTTCTCTAATGGTTAAGGGTATGATGGCTCAGGCCTCTGATCCCAGTCCTTGGGAGGCAGATGATTGCAGAGAGTTCCAGGACAGCCTAGGACAGAGTGCGAACTAGTCTCGGGAGAAAGAAAGAAAGAGAGAGAGACAGAGACAGAGACAGAGACAGAGAGAGACAGACAGAAAGGAAGGAAGGAGAGAGAGAGAGAGAGAGAGAGAGAAAGAAAGAAAGAAAGAAAGAAAGAAAGAAAGAAAGAAAGAAAGAAAGGAAGGAAGGAAGGGAGGACAGAGAGAGAAGAAGAAAGGAGAGAGAGAGGAAGGAAGGAGAGAGAGAGAGGAAGAAAGAAAGAAGGAAGGAAGGGAGAGGGAGAGAGGAGCACTGGCTGTTTTCACAAAGGACCTGAGTCCAGTTCCCAGCACCCACCTGGTACCTTAAAACCATCCTAACTCAGTCCCAGGGGATCTCATACCTTCTCCTGGCCCCCACGAACACTGCATACATACACATGGCACACAGACATGCATGCAGGCGAAAACACCCATGGCTGTAAGTAAGAACAAACCGATTTTAGAGAAAAGCAAAGGAAACAGACGTTGACATAGGATCAAGGTTAGGGGAACTACTGCCGAAGGCCGAGTAATGATTTACAGTCTTGAAAACACAGCTCTGGGCGCTGGCGTTGCGAACGTGCCTGTGATCACAGAGCTTGAGAGAAGGAGACAGAAGGATCAGGAATTCACGTTCATCCTTGGCTACACAGCAGCTTCCAAACCAGCCAGGACTACATCGTGAGACCCTGTCTCAAAACACAGCCACACATGCACATATACATGGAGAAAAAAACAAAACACCAGGCCTGGGGGCTGGAGAGATGGCTCAGAGGTTAAGAGCACTGGCTGCTCTTCCAGAGCACCCGGGTTCAATTCCCAGCACCCACATGGAAGCTCACAACTGTCTGTAATTTCAGGATCCAACACCCTCCAACAGACATACATGCAGGCAAAACATCAGTGCATAATAAATAAAAATAAATAAATTATTTCAAAAACAAAAACACCAAAAACCAGCCCTGGGGCAGAATTGCCACTGTGCATTCCGCCGTGTGGGGGCACCAGCCCCCATCCCTGACCTCACGCCCCCTCCCAATACAGCCTCTCACTTTAGCCTTGGGCTCCCGGGAGACTAGACCTTGAGGTAAACCACTGAGCAGCAGTACACCTGGCCCTCTCTCTGTTTCTTCCTCCCTCTTCCCTCCACTCACAAAGGACCAGGTATTCCCACATAGACAAGTCTGCTGTGGTGGAAGAGAGGGAGAGAAAGAATGCAGAACTATGGAGTTGACGAGGCATTCTGAGGGAATCTCTAACCCCTGGGCCAGGCTTAACGGGGCACAGACTCGGTTGGTGGCTTTATTACTGGATTGTACAGTAATAGACATAGTAATCACTGTAATTTTTCTCTCTGGGCTAGATATACGGTACATGATGATGGGATTGGCTATTACAAACAGCTAAGATTCTCTTTGGAACCCTCTTAATGTTTCTTTTCTCAAATGTCATTTATTTTTGGTCTTTCGAGATGGGGTTTCTCTGTGTAGCCCCGGCTGTCCTGGAACTCGCTCCGTAGACCAGGCTGGCCTCGAACTCACAGAGATCCGCCCGCCTCTGCCTCCCGTCCATGACCACCGCTGGCTCAAATGTTATTTTGTACACGAGGCTGAGGGTGGAATGGGATGAAGATGTGAGCCTCACTTTTCACTCTTCACGTTCATAGCAACAGGAGCAGGACCCTACAAATCTATACATCTCCAACCTCCCCCTGTCGATGGATGAGCAAGAACTGGAGGGGATGCTGAAGCCGTTTGGCCAGGTTATCTCCACCCGGATCCTTCGAGACACTAGTGGGGCCAGCAGAGGGGTCGGCTTTGCCAGGTAAGAGAAGGTTAGGGGTGGTTAAAGAGAGAGAACTAGGGAAACAGCACACACGTGCACACGCACACACACGCACACACACGCGCGCGCACACACACGCGCGCGCACACACACACACACACACACACACATACACACAAACGCACATGCACACACATGCAAACACAAACACGTGCACACACACACACATGCACATGCGCGCACGCGCACACACACGTGCACGCACACACATGCAAACACGCGCACACACGCACAGACACACACACAGACACGCACAGGCACAGGCACAGGCACACAGACAGACAGGTGCACACACACACACACACACACATGGACACACACAGGCTCATAGACACACACACATAGACACATACACACAGGTCTTGTATAAGACCAGCCTCAATATTATACATCCCAGGGGCTCAGGGGAGAGAACTACTAACGGCGAGGACTATTTTCAGGAAATAGAATCTCAGCACACCGAGCTCTATAGTCCACTTGCTTTAATTCCTCTGTCACAACATCCTTTCTACACAGCTTCAGTTCTGTTCTCGTGCCTAGCTCCTTTCTTGCCTGATTTCTCTCAATACTTATCTAAGTTCTATCTTAATTCTCTCGTCTTAATTCTGCCTCATCTAGGTCCTTTTCAGCTTGTTCTTGCCCAGCTAGTTCTTCCCCATCTGGCTCTTCCTCATCTTCCATCTCGTTCCTCTAGTCCTCTCTTCTAGCCCCTCAATCTAGTTCTTTCACATCTCAGTTTGTTCCTCTCAAGTTCTTACCCGTCTAGTTCTTCCATTCTCCTTTCTCTTCTCCGTCCCATGCCCTGGAAGTCCTGGTATATAAAGCCAGGCTTCCAGGGTCAAACGGAGGGGTGATAAGAATCACATTGAGAGGCAATAACTGTTAATTATCATTTGCAACCCCAAAAGGAAGTGACCAATGGGAAAATGAATTAACCAAAGGCTGAATTCAGGTAATATCTAAGAAGAGGGCTCTTATGTGCTCAACTATAGTCTTAAATGTGATTGGTATAAAATGTTAAGAATTTATAAGTTGCTAGGTCAATGGGAGAAAATAAAACTGCCTTCTTTTTTCCTGTGGCTCCTATCTGTCCAAGCTATCTGCGGTTTTTCTGCAGGGTGGGGGAAAGTGTGCTCAGTCTCTAGGCAGCCTGTGTACAGCTAGATGCCTCTGGTGATAGTTAAAGGGAGATCTGGAACTAGAGGTAAGGTTTGGGAAAGGAGGAATTAAGGCTTAATTGGCACATCCGCCAGGCCTTCTCAAACAGGTAGCCTGGATGCTTAAGTCTGTCCTTAGAGAGTACAGAGGTATCTCTGATAAGGTACTTTCCTCCATC